TGCTAGCTTTGAGTTGAAGAGCTGAGGGACAGCGCCCAGGCCCAGAGTTCAGGCCCCACAAACAGCAAAAAGAAAAAAAAAAAGAAAGGGCATTTCTGAAATATATTCTCAGGACCTATGCCTTACTTAGGGGAAGAGTTAGTGAACATCACACTGTGAGTCTCTATTTGAGGAAACCTGTGGTGGACGTGAAATGTTCCCCAGACATACTGAAGTTTACTTCTCTAGAATTATCTGGCCTTTCTTTTTTTTTTGGGGGGGGGGGGTCCAGTCGTGGGGCCTGAACTCTGGGCCTGGGCACTGTTCCTCAGCTCTTCAGCTCAAGGCTAGCACTCTACCACTTGACCCATAGCGCCACTTCCCGCTTTTTTTTTCTTTTTGCTTATGTGGTGCTGGGAAATCGAACCCAGGGCCTCATGCATGCAAGGCAAGCACTCTACCACTGAGCCACCTTCCTAGCCCCTTATCTGGCCTTTTCTATCACTTCTCAGACGTAGCCCTGTAACTGGAAGGGTCCTACTGGCAGGGTTCTTCAGTTTTTGTCTCTTGTCCTGCAGTGTGGGTTTAGCTAGCTTTCTCCTTTCAGAGATGTGTTATCCTCCCTGTCTTTATATATTAGTGAGGCCTTATTTGTCATTATTTGTGTACCAGGAATTGCTAATATAGGCTCTGCTATTGAAGATTTAAAGTCTATAGGACTAAAATTAAGCCACTAGCCCTTAATCTCTCTTCTGAGTATCTATCTGAGACACAGCTTTTAGGGGCTATCTGCATAGAAGGCTTGATGCCTCCATTTGGCTCTTCTAAGGCCAGAATGGAAATTACCACATTACCAAGCTTTGACATACCTTCATTTACTCTTGTGATATGACAGCTCTTCTCAGCTTAGGGAAACATTCTATGAAATAGGCACCAACCTGAGCCAGGCACATTCTAGGCAGAAGAGGACTGAGGTCAGGACTCCTGAAGAGATTTCCAGAATGTCCCTTCCAACTAACAGATGGACACCACTGACCACGATCCTTCCACCCCACTGTTCTCAAAGCCAAGGTGCCTTCCCCTTAGGCCATCTGATCTCCGAGTCTCTTAGATAATTCCACCACCTTGTAATCAAAGTAGAACTTCAGTGTCTGTCATTAAAGGCAATATTCTGCAAAGGGATTTTTTTTTTTTTTTTTTTTTTTGGATTCCAAATCCAAAGCCATTCTGGGCAAGTTCTATTTAGTAGATGGAAGAAAAAGAAGGTTTTAAGTGAGCCTGTTAAAGGTCCAATAGTAACTGTTCACACAAGAGTCAGAACATCCCAACAGGACAAATTCTTACAGAATGAAGAATTTAAAGTTTTTGCATAAAGGGGACTTTCCACTTTTTATTTATGCTTCTATTAGGATTTTGAAGGAATGTCAGCACACTGTTATTAACTCTAATAGCTTGCACATCGCAGCCTGGATGGTTTGGGGCCCTGAGGCTCTCAGGTTACTCATGTAAATACAGGGATTCACTTCCCTGTGCTCAGCTCTACCATTTGCTTAAGAAAGAGCAAATGTGCACAATCCAGTAGCAGCCTGGCAGAAGCAGGATATCAAATGAAGGGGAGGTTATGGTTGGAGTCAGTGAGGTAAATGCCTGAGTGGCACCTGCTTCATTCAGCAGATCTGCTTTCCCGGGGCCTCCCACTGCACATCTGCTCCTGACAAAGCCTCTTTTCTCCTCCCGTTAGTCAGAAGCAGAGCAAAGGCCCAGCAAGGAGTCATGTTGGTTTTCTTCTGTCAGCACAATTGCCTGTGACATTATAATTACACCAAATCTTCATTATTAGAAGAGCCCCAATTTAGAGATTTTTCAGAGCCTAATGAGTTTTTGAAGTGAAATTGATTTAAAGAAAAAAAAAAAAAACACAAAAAAATCTTTGCTGTTTTAAGCCAGTATTTGAGTCTGAGAATCATTGAAGGGGGCCTAAATATGGAAACTGAGACACCGTTCGGAGCAAAACTACAAAAGCCTTGCTATCAGATTGGCTCCGTAAAGAGTCATCCAGCAATCTTTCTGACTTTGCACAGCCCCATCTCGCTGTACCTCTCAAAGCACTATAATATACTTCTACAGTGATTCTTCTTAAATGCTAATACATTTACTCATAGATGGCCTATGGAGCTAGAGATCATTGAAATAAGTTAATAGAGTAGAGCAGAAAAGGAAAGAACCTATGTTATAAATAAGGGAAATGCCCAGGAAATATTACAGGCAACTACAAAGCATCTGGTTTCATATTGAGTTTCCACCAAAGATATTTCATAGCAGTGTTAAACTATGTGCATCACACACACACACACACACACACACACACTCTCTCTCTCTCTCTCTCTCTCTCTCTCTCTCTCTCTCTCTCTCCTGCATGCACACACGCACATTGTACATTTATGATGTAGAGTTAGCACTGTGGAAGTTCTAGAAAGGTTTTTGAGCTATAGTCTAGTGATTTAAACTTAAATTAATTGAAATCACATAAAACTAAAGGTTTTGTTTCTCAATCACACTAGCTGCTGTAGCCACCATGCTAGCCACACACACTGTTGACTTGGCCCTTGTCGCAGGGAGGCAACTGCACATCGCTGATTGAACCTCCGCAAGTGTCATGACTACTTCAGGAAGCCTTGGAGTTTCTATTTCAGTATTGATGAAAAATTTTGCCTGAATACTTCTGGAACAGTTCCTTGCAGCCATGTTGCCTAGATTATATTCTTAATCCTTTTGTATCCATATTTTTCTCCCAAGAATATCATGTCCTGGGGAAGGTGGCTCAGTGGTAGAGCGCTTGCCTTGCATGCATGAGGCCTGAGTTCGATTCCTTAGCACCACATAAGCAGAAGAAAAAAAAAAGCCGGAAATGGTGCTGTGGCTCAAGAGATAGAGTGCTAGCCTTGAGCTGAAGAGCTGAGGGACAGCGCCCAGGCCCAGAGTTCAGGCCCATGACCGGACCCCCCCCCCCCCCCAAAAAAAAAAGAATATCATGTCCTTTCCCTGTTTATCCCTCTTTCAAAAAACTAGTGAATGAAAACAAGTAAGGGAAACATTTAATTTTAGGAATATCTGTTTCCAGCTAGCCCTCTTGGCCTTCTCAGCGTTTCTATTGGAATAGACTAGACAGTTCTTTTCTCATTAAACAGCCTCTGGCTGACAAGAGACCATGTGAATTGGGGGCCAAGAAAGAATGTGTGAATCCTGTAATTGTAACGTTGCTTAGGCTTATAATAACCCTAAGAGACAGGAATAGCCTGTGGGTTTTATAAATACAGATATAACCAACTCTTAGTTGTCATATACAGATTATCCTTCATGCAGATTACTTGTGACACATTTCTAATCCTTGAACAGTTCCTCTAAGCAAGCTAGTGTAAGCCTCAACTATCTCCTCCAGCTGCTAAGTACTTAGGAAATACAAATTAGTTTTCATATTAGCTTAAGAAAGACATAATTAGGAAGGTAAAGCTGCTACAAGAAAATCACATTGTAAGTACCAGTTAGGAGAGAGTTAAAGAGAAACAAAAAAAAATTCACCCTTAGCACACAGTAAGCTGGCATGTGCACTGAAGGGTTTGTAAAATGCTCATAGGTGGACATCAGAGATATATGCCTGGGATATGTGGGGAGCTACAGAGACGCAGCAGGTTCTAGTGACCCGTCTTGCCCAGTGCTTCTTAACAGTTCTGTGTTCTTGTCAGGCCTGTTTATGGCAGACTATGGAGGTTGCAAGTGGATCCTGGCAAGAAGTTTGCAGGTGGGTTCATCTTTGGGGAGAGAAGGAAGCAGCTGAGGGTGGAGTTACTCCGAGGCGGCCATTCCAGGCTCTGTTTCCTGCATGTATGATGTGATTCCCGCCGATGCAGCCCCCATCATCTGGTCACCAAATAGCTTTCGTAACCATTGATAGTTGGTTATTTCTAGTGTGATTACTCCTTTTTTTATTGATTAGCTGGGATTCTTTTATAAAGAACTTATCCCAGTAACTATTTGCCTATGTCAAGTACAGTTCAGATAAGAAAGGGGGACTGAATACTTGATCAAGATGAAGTTACTGGGCTCAGCCAACACCAGGACTCCAACATGGCATCAGTCAAACCAGTGAAGGAGAAAAATCTCATGGACGCTGGACTAGGGGAGCTGCTAAGCTGGACATTGATGTGAGCTTTTACTCCTTACGGCACCATTGGAGCATTTCAAAAAGCTTACTACTGGTATTACAGCAAGCACATCAGTGTGAAGAAAGCAAACATCGCTGGAGTTAGCACAGTGCTGGCAGCTTACCTGCTTTTCAGCTACTTCCTTTCTTACAAGAAACTCAGGCATGAACAGTCATTCAGATACCACCAAAGAAGGGCCCATACATGAGCCTCTGCATTGTGTACTCCTGACCATAACATTGTTACCCTGGCTTTCAGGGGAGGGGGGAGGAGTATCTCAGGCACTGCTGAATCTTTTCAACCCTGAGAATTAATGCCTAAGAAAATTGACTGGTTTGGAGGGGAGATGGGGAATGAAGACTCACTGAGATAGATTTTTTTTTTTCTGTGTGACTATCAAACTCCATAACTATCTGTTTATTTCCCCTTCACAGTCTGCCTTCTTCAGGTATCTTACTATCTGTAGCAATGTAATCCTACCCTTCATGTGTTCTTAGAAAGGTTAGAGAGTAGTCAGGCACCGGTAGCTCACGCCTGTATTTTAGCTACTCAGAAGGCTGAGACCCGAGGATCGAGGTTCAAAGCCAGCCCAGGCAGGAAAGGCTGTGAAATTCTTATCTCCAATAAACCACCAGAAAACTGGAACTGGCGCTGTGGCTCAAGTGGTAGAGCGCTAGCCTTGAGCTGAAGAGCTGAGGGACAGTGCCCAGGCCCAGAGTTCAAGCCCGCAACTGACCCAAAAAAAAAAAAAAGAAGAAGAAGAAAGAAAGATTTGAGAGTGTCCATCTTTTGAGAAATGCTGCTCTACAAGATTATGCAGTGTAAGCTTCAGCAGCACATACACTAAAACTGAAATGATATCAAGAAGACGAACATAGCCCCTGAGCAAGGATGACATGCAAATTCATGGAGCATTCCATATTTTTAAAAATAGGATTCTGAGAGCAATTATATAAAGTAAGAAGCTGAAAAAGCAAGAGTGTATCTTTGGAAGCTTCCTTCCCAATCTTGTCTGTGCTCTCAGATGGAGGAGCACGGTTTGGTGGCAGGCACAGGCAAGTTCCTGGTACCATTCTTGCTCCTTTTGTGCCTATTTGAAACTTCCCATAATAAAGTGTTTGAAAATCACGGTATCAGAAATCTCTGTCCCTGAGTCTGGTTAACCCTTGCATGGACCTGCCACTACTCATTCTTGCATTTCACTACTGCAGACCCTCCAACAGCTCTGTGGCTTGTGAGCTCTGCATCATCTACACTCACTTCCTATTTGAAAGTAATGGGTCTTGTCAACTGTATATGCTCACTGTTCTATGGGCTTTTGAAAACCTCGAGTGTCATTCTGGGAATTTACCTGACATCTCTGTGCACTTGGATCAGGTGTCTTCAGAGTCCACGGTATTCCACAGGCTTTATTGGCAGTGCCTGTCCCCTGTTGCTTTCTGTGAAAGCCTTCCTGGCCAGGTGAGCTAGCTCAGCCCCACACTGAGAGCTCAGTCTCCAGTAGTTCTGAATCCTGAAGCACACATCTCTTGATTTCATAATGTTCCTGAGCATCTCCAGTAATTCAAGAGGATACCAAGAAGTTCTATCTCCAGAATGTGTTTTGAGACACATTTACAACAGTAAAATGCCTTACCAACTCAGGAGGCTAAGATCTGAAGATTGTAGTTTGAAGCCAGCCTCGACAGGAACTTCTGTTAGACTCTTATTTCCAATTAAATGCCCTTCCCCATTCCCACCCCCCAAAAATAGCCGGGTACCAGTGGCTCATGCCTGTAATCCTAGCTACTCAGAAGGCTGAGATCTGAGGATTGCAGTTCAAAGCCAGCCCAGGTAGGAAAGTCTGCGAGACTCTTATCTCCAATTAATCACCAGAAAACTGGAAGTGGTACTGTGGTTCCAGTGGTAGAACACTTGCCTTGAGCAAAAAAAATGCTCCGCTCCAGGACTGGTAGCAAAAACAAAATGCATTCTGTTTTGACATTTGGCTTTCTGGGTGTCAGTGGCTTATGCCTATAATCCTAGATACTCAGGATGCTGAGGTCTGAGGATCATGGTTTAAATTTAAAGCCAGCCAGTCAGAAAAATCCAGTCCTAGGCTGGGAAGGTGGCTCAATGGTAGAGCGCTTGCCTTGCATGCATGAGGCCCTGGGTTTGATTCCTCAACACCACATAAGCAGAAAAAGCCGCAAGTGGCTCTTTGGTTCAAGTGGTACAGTGCTAGCCTTGAGCTGAAGAGCTGAGGGACAGAGCCCAGGCCCAGAGTTCAAGTCCCACAACTGACAAAAAGAAAAAAGAAAAGTCCAGTCTGTGAGACTCTTATCTCCAATAAACTACTCAGAAAAGGCCAGAAGTGGTCCTGTGGCTCAAGTTGTAGAGAGCACCCTTGAGCCCAAAGAGGCTCAGGGACAAGCCCCACACTCACAAAAACATTTAGCTTGAGGAGTTTCATGGTGGTCTGCAAAAATCAGGCAAAGGATAGGAATGGGCCTGCCCCAACCAGACAGAGTCACTGCCAGGAACATTATTATAGGAAGTGGCTTTTCTAAGTATGCCTTGAAATTGGCAAGAAGGGAAACTTGGTTTCCCTTGGTATCATGACTCAGAAGTACAAGAAGAGAAATGCTTTATCTTTCTCCCCCCCCTTTTTTTTGGGGGGGGGGGATCAGTCGTGGGGCTTGAACTCTTGGCCTGGGTGCTGTCCCTCAGCTCTTCAGCTCAAGGCTAGCACTCTACCACTTGAACCACGCACCACTTCCAGTTTGCTGGTGGTTAATTGGAGATGAGTCTCACCAACTTTCCTGCCTGGGTTGGCTTTGAACTGCGATCCTCAGATCCCAGCCTCCTCAGTAGCTAGGATTATGCATGAGGCTCCGGTGCCCAGCTTTGTCTTACTATCCTAAGAGTTACCTGGACTTGCATTCTGGCATGAAATGGACTTTTCATGACCTATCATCTCCTTTTTGCTCTACATCTCTCTTCTTCCCATCTGAACCATATTTAGGCTACCACCTCTATTTGCCACCTGCCTACTGAGTTAGCTTTCTTATCTGATTTCCTATCTTTTTCCACTTTCTACCAATATGCCTAGTTTTCTTCATATCACACTTGCTTTCCTTAGACATCAGCTACTGATGTAAATACTTTTCCAAGCTTGCAAGTGGGAAATTTTATTTTAATATAATATTTTTACTAAGTGATTGTAAAATGGGGCTTCCATTCTAGAAGTCAGGTTATGAGGACAATGCATCCTGATAATGTCATCCCTTCTATCAGAGATATAAAAATTTTTATTTTTTTTTATTGTAAGGATACTGTACAGAGGGGTTACAGTTACATGAGTAAGGTAATAGTACATTTCCTATAGAGCATTGTTACTCGCCCCTTTGTTTTTCCCCTACCCTCCCTTCCCTTCCCACCTCCCAAACTCCTCTCTCCCTCCCCCCAAAGTTGTAAAGTTTTCAACATAGTGTCTTGTACATCTCACTATTACATTGGGTCAACCTTTATTCTATTTCAGCTTTTTGTTATTTCCCTTCCCCTCCCCAAATTAGAAAAATGTATATACAAAGTACAGGGCTCCAGAATCAAATATAGTGGAGACAGAGGTCATACCGTGGGTGAAGAACATTCCAGAGGAAAAAAAAAAGCACATAGTACATTACAAGTACATTAATAACAACAGCAACAAAGATAAAACCTCTGAGACAAAGATTTTTAAATTTAAAAAAATAAAATAAAGAGCTGGATGCCAATGGCTCACCTATAATCCTAGCTACTCAGGAGGCTGAGATCTGAGGATTGTGTTTCAAAGCCAGTCTAAGAAGCAAAGTCCGTGAGACTCCTATCTCCTGTTAACCACCAAAAAGCCAGAAATGGAGTGTGGCTCAAATGACAGAGTGCTATCTAGAGCGAAAATGCTCGGGGACAGTACCCAGGCCCTGAGTTCAAACCCCAGGACCAGTACTAAAAAAAATGATTTTTTTTTTTTTTTAAAAAGGACTTCCCTCCTTCCTATTACCCTTAGAAAAAGCTATAACTACCTGACAAGTAAAAAATGAGGCACTGATGCCATGTAGGCTAAAATTGGGAGGATTGCAATTCCAGGTCAGCCAGAACAGAAAAGTCTACAAGAGTCAATCTTAACCAAAGAGACTAGGCATGACCTGTCACCATAAAAACATAATAAGAAAATAGGAGGGTCAGTCTAGATGTGTACGTAAGCAGGAAGCTAGATCTTATCTCAAAAATAGCTAACTAAAAAGGGCTAGGGACATGATTTGGTGATAGAACACATGCCTAGAAAGTGTAAGACACTGAGTTTAAACTCCAGCATTGTCCATCACTACCCTAAATAAAAACTTGATGAGTTATATATAATATAATCTGCGCATTTAAGCTGGGTGCCAGTGGCTCATACCTGTAATCCTAGCTCCTCAGGCTGAGATCTGAGGATCACAGTTCAAAGCCAGCCTGGGCAGGAAAGTCCGTGAGACTCTTATCTCCAATAAACCACTAGAAAACCGGAAGTGGTGCTGTGGCTTTAGTGGTAGAGCGCTCGCCTTGAGCTGAAGAACGCAGGGACAGCGCCCAAGCCCAAGACTGCCATTTATTCCTTCTTTATTATCCTTTCCATCCATGGACTTCATTGGTTCCCCAACAAAGCTGGAGTTTTCCTGACATATATAATTGGCTTTTATCTCAATAAACTACAGAAACCATTACACCATCAATTTTGCTTTGGGTTTTAAGAGTTATTTCTTAAAGCACCAACTGTTGTGTTTTTTGTTCAGCTCTCTATTTTTCCTCTCACAACCATCAATATTTTTCTCCCAACTAAAGATATTTCCATGGCCAACTTGGAAGGCCTTTGGGGTGAAAGATTCAGTTACAGCAAACAACAATTCCCAAAGGTTTCCCAGCTAGAAAGGCAAATGAAAGGCCCATTCTTCCACCAGCCATGTGCCCTGGCCTATCTTGTGGGGTGGGGGAGGGCAGGCCATGGTACAGCTGACCAGCCTGCAGCCCTGGGTTCTACTTAGCTCATGTTTGTCCTGCTACTTTCTGGAGGAATTGAGAGATTTGTCACAGTGATGACATATACTATCTCTGATCATATATACATTTTTCTGTAGTGCTAGAGGTTGAACTCAGGCCTTGCATGTACTAGATAAGCACTTTAACACAGAGCTAAGCCCTCAACCTCTTGGTCATATTTTTGACATGCTTAATATTGAGTAGCGTTTCAGCCTGGATTGATTATTTATGAGTGCACTGGACATTATTGTACAGTTCCTGTGCCAGGTGTGAGCACTTCGTGTCTTTGGAGGTCTTTGGCAAATAATATGGCTCCTGTAGGAGTTCACTGCCACAAGATATGTGCTGACTCTGCTTCTGGTCTGTCTCCTTAGAGCTTTAGCAACTAACAATTGCTGTAAATCCACTCTATGTCCAGAACTGTACCAGGCTTTACCTGAGTTGAATAACCCTGTGAGATTAGTTATAGCATTTTGCACTTGAAACAGATTTACAAGTTGTCAGAATGGCAACACCAAGATTCACACATAGGGCTGGGAATGTGACTCAGTGGTAGAGTGCTTGCCTTGCATGCATGAAGCCCTGGGTGTGATTCCTCAGTACCACATAAACAGAAAAAGTTGGTAGTGGCACTGTGGCTCAAGTGGTAGCGCGCTGGCCTTGAGCAAAAAGAAGCTCAGGGACAATGCCCAGGCCCTGAATTCAAGCCCCAGGACTGGGGGGGAAAAGATTCACACATATGTCTTTCTGGGAATATTTAATGGAAATAAAGTGGCGTATTTCATCCTGCCATGAACAGTTCTTAAAGTACAACACAACACTTTAAGAATGTCATTGCTGGGTGCCAGTAGCCTGTGCCTATAATCCTAGCTATCAGGAGGCTGTGATC